GTTGAAGGCCTTCCCACACTCCATGCACTCATAGGGCTTCTCTCCAGTGTGGATGCTGAAGTGTCGAATGAGGTCTGCACGATTGCTAAAGGCTTTCCCACATTCTTTGCACTCAAAAGGTTTTTCTCCAGTGTGGGCCCTTTTATGCAAGATGAAAGTAGAGCAGTGGGTGAAGGCCTTTCCACACTCGCTGCACACATAGGGTTTCTCCCCAGTGTGAATCCTCTGGTGCCTCTTGAGGTATGACCTGTGGTTGAAGGCCTTCCCACACTCTAGGCACTCAAAGGGCTTCTCCCCAGTGTGGATGACATAGTGGTGAATGAGGGCTGCACTCTCACAGAAGGCTTTCCCACACTCACTGCACTCATAGGGCTTCTCCCCAGTGTGAGTCTGCTGGTGCCACATGAGGTATGACCTGTGTTTAAATACCTTGCCACACTCAAAGCATTCATAGGGATTCTCGCCACTGTGGATGATGTAGTGACGAATGAAACCTGGCCTATCTCGGAAGGCTTTTCCACATTCTTTGCATACAAAGGGTTTTTCTCCAGTGTGGCTCCTGTTATGCAAGACAAAAGTGGAGCGATGGGTAAAGGCCTTTCCACATTCATTGCACTTATAAGGCTTCTCGCCACTATGAATCCTCTGGTGCTGTGTAAGGTGTGACTTACGGTTGAAGGCTTTCCCACACTCCATACACTTATAGGGCTTCTCCCCTGTGTGGACCATGTGGTGTTGAAGGAGATAAGTGCTTTTACTAAAAGTTTTCCCACACTCGGTACATTCATAGGGCTTCACTCCAGAGTGAATCCTCTCATGTCGAGCAAGGAGGCGTTTCTTGTTAAAAACTTTCCCACATTCATTGCATTTAAAGATATTTTCTTCTTCCTGAATCACAGAATCTTTACCTGACCCACATGAGTCATGGTCATGGACAGCACTTCCCAAAGGGACTGGCTCCTTTACAATCCCTGAACACACATTATCAGCTGTCCCTATGTTGCCATGTTCAGAGCTTGATTTCCCAGGGATTTTCTCCTTCTGGGGGTCTATCTCTGGTATCAAGTGTCCCTCTTGCATTTCCAATGACCCATCCTGATCCTTAGTTCGGCCCACCTGGGTGATCCCTGGAACTCCTTGTGTTAGTTGTTCCTGGAAGGAGACTCCCTCAGACAGGGCTGGCTCACTAGCAGTAGATTCTGTGGTCTTGGGTTTTCCTTTGTCACCTGAAAGAAATCCAATACACAAAAAGGTCTGTTGGTAATGCCAACATAGAAAAAAATGAGCATTTCAGTGAAATGAAGAGAAAAAAATGAAGATGAAAATAGTGTCTCTGTGTCTTGCTACCTCTGAATCCCAGGATAACAATGTCTTTTTTTCCCCAAGAATCCTAGGACTACTGACACTATGAAAGGGAGACCTGGGGGAGTGGTTGGGTTAGAAGATGAAGTGCAGGAGAGGAGACACAGTCAATTCCAGACTGGATATTTATGCAAATAGGTAACTCATTTGGGACCCTGAGAGTTCATGCTTAAAAGATGACTGAGGGCAATGCATGACATGTAATTAGAGGGTTGGTGCTTCGAGCTATAAGGTAGCAACTAGGCCTCTGGACACAGTCATGTAGGAAATGACTCAATCAACTGTGCTTATGTAATGACAGTAAATAAAACTCTGGACCCTCAAGCTAGGTGAAATTCCTAGGTTGCCAATACTTTGTATTGGCACGTAAGGAACCCCTCCAAAAACTGTTCCAAAAAACACCTGATGCAGACATATTGGACATGACTTTACAACACCACGTTGAAGAAGCTCAAGGAGCTAAAGTAAGATATGGAGAAAGTCAAGAAAACTATGTATATTAAAAAAAAAAAAGAAAACTATGTATAAACAAAATGGAAATATCAACAAAGAGCTAGAAACCTAAAAAGAAACCAAAAAGAAAAGTATAATAACTGAAATGAAAAATTCACTGCAAGGATTCAAAGGAAGATTTCAGTAGGATGAAGAAAGACTCAGCATACTTAAATACAGAAAATGAAAATTATGTCCACAGGGGAGGGGGGAGATTTAAGAAAAGTGAACATACCCCAATGGACCTGTGATACACCAGTAAGAGAACCAATATACTCATTGTGGGATTTATCAGAAAGAGAAAGGGTAAAAGAAAATATTTTAACAAGTGGCTGAAAATATCCCAAATTTGATGGAGACATCAATAATAAATATCCAAAAAGATCAGTGTACTCCAAGAAAGATGAACTAAAATAGATTCACACCAATAAAACTTAAAATCAAACCTTTGAAACCCAAAGATAAACAGAGTATCTTGATAGCAAGCTTGAGGCAACTTGTCACAAAAAGAAATTCTCAGTAAGATTACGAGCAGAGTTCTCATCAGAAACTTGGGAGGCCAGAAAACAGTGGGTCAATATATTCGAGGTTAAAAGAAAAAAAACTGTCAACCAAGAGGCAAAAGTGTCCTTTAAGAGGAAGAAATTAAGACAGTTCCATATGTAAAACCCGAGGAAGTCTGTTACCACTAGACCTGCCTTGCAAGAAATTCTCAAGGAAATCTTGCAGGGTGAAATGAAAGGACACTAGACAGTAATTCAAAGCCATATAAAAAAATAAAAAATCTCAATAAAAGTAAATATATGAACAATTATAAAGGTATTATTTTAACAATGGCTTATAACTCTACTTTTTGTTTTTTTACATGATTTAGGGGACTAATTAAAAAAAAACTATACTAATCTAAAAGCTAATGTTACTGTAACTTCAGGTTATAACTCCACATGTAGTTTCTACATAATTCGAAAGACTAATGCATTTAAAAGAGTCATTAGTTTTGGGTGCCTGGGTGGCTCAGTTGGTTAAGCAACTGCCTTTGGCTCAGGTCATGATCCCAGGATCCTGGGATCGAGCCCTGCATGAGCAGGGAGCCTATTTCTCCCTCTCCCACTCCCCCTACTTGTGTTTCCTCTCTTGCTGTCTCTCTCTCTCTCTGTCAAATAAAAAAATAAAAAATCTTTAAAAAAAAATAGCAGGATACAAAGTCAACACAGAAAAATCAGTTGAATTTTTATACACTAATAATAAACAATCTGAAAATGAAATTACAAAAATAGGTACACTCATAACAGCATCAAAAAGAATGAAGTACTTAGGAGTTAGACCTAAACAACAAGGTAAAAGATGAAGACAATGAAAACTATAAAACGTTGCTAGAAGAAATTAAAGATGTAAATAAATGGAAACACATACCATGGTCATGGATTAGAACTCTTAACATTGTTAAGATATTGATACTCCCTAAAGTGTTCTACAGATTCAGTGCACTCCCTATCAAAATCCCAAAGACATTTTTTGTAGAAATATTAAAAACCATGGTAACATCCATATGGTATCAGAACGGACCCTGAATAACCAAAACTCTTACTTACTACAAAACTACAGTAATCAAAAAACAAAACAAAACAAAACAAAACTACAGAAATCAAAATAGTGTGGCACTGGCATAAAGATAAGACATACAGACCAAGGTAATATAATTGACAACCCAGCAATGACCTCTAACATATATCATCAAATCATTTTTTTTTAAAGATTTTATTTATTTATTCATGAGAGACAGAGAGAGAGAGAGAGGCAGAGGGAGAAGCAGGCTCCCAAGGAGCAGGGAGCCTGATGCGGCGGCACTCGATCCCAGGACCCTGGGATCATGACCTGAGCTGAAGGCAGATGCTTAACCATCTGAACCACCCAAGCGCCCTATCATCAAATCATTTTTGACAAGGGTTGCCAAGACCATTCAACAGACAAAAAGACAGTGTTTACAACAAATGGTGCTGGGAAAACTAGGTATTTATATGACAAAGAATAAAAGTGAACCCTTATCTATCTAACATCATATGCAAAAATGAACTCAAATAGGATCAAAGACCCAAATGTAAGACCTAAAATACAAGATTCTTAGAAAACACGGAGCAAAACCTCTATGGCACTGGATTTGGCAATGACTTCTTAGATATGACACCAAAGCCATCAGCAACAAAAGAAAAAATAAACAAATTGAAGTCATAAGAATTAAAAAACTGTGCATCAAGATACTATCAACAGAGCAAGGCAATAACCCCAAGAATGGGAGAACATATTTGCAAATCATATATCCGATAAGGGATTAATATCCAGAATATATAGAGAACTAAAACTCAACAACAAAAAATCACAATACAGAAATGGGCAAAAGACTTGAATAGACATTTCACCAAAGATGACATACAAATCGTCAATAAGCACAAGGTGTTCGACATCACTAACCATTAGCGAAATGCAAATCAAAACTACAATGAGGTATCCTCTCACATCCATTAGGATGGCTATCAAAAGATCAGAAAATAACAAATACTGGAGGATACAGAACAGTGGGAACTCTTGTGCACTGTTGGTGGGAATGTAAAATGATATAGTCTCTGTTGAAACAGTATGGCAGCTCCTCAAAAAATTAAAAATGGAATTAAGAGATGATCGAGTAATTTCATTCATTTCTTGTTATATTCCCAAAAGAATTGAAATCAGGTTCTCAAAGACGTTTGTACACCCATGTTCACAGCAATATTATTCACAATAGGTAAAACATGGAAGCAACCCATGTGTCCATTGAGGGATGAATGGATAGCAAAGTGTGATATGTGGAATATTATCGAGCCTTAAAAAGGAAGGAAATTTTGACACATGCTACCACATGGATAAACCTTGAGGACATTATGCTAAGTGAAACAAGCCAGTCATAAAGACACACACGCAAATAATGCATCATTCCACTAATATGAAGTACTTAGTCAAAATCATAGACACAGCAAGTAAAATTGTGGTTGCCAGGGCCTGGGGCAGAGAGATGGGGGGGTTACTGTGTAATGGGTAGAGTTTCAATCTTACACAATGAAGAGCTTTGGAGATGGATGGTGGTGATAATTGCACAGCATTATGAATGTATTTAATATCACTCAGCTGTACACTTAAAAATGAATAAAATGTTGTTTTATGCTATGAATATTTTAACACACACAAAAAATAACAGAAGGAATATACAAAGAATCCCTACAAATCAAAAAGAAAATGTAAACCAGTTAAGAGAAAAATAGGTATTTATCATGAAAAGACATTTCAAAAGAGAAAATACAGATTGACCAATAATCATATGATCAGGTGCTAAAGCTCCTCAGCAATGAAGGAAAAGCAAATAAAGACCACATAAGATACAGTTTTGTGTTCATTTGATTGTCAAGGATTGAGGAGCCTTAGAGTATCAAGTATTGGGCAAAGTATGGGTCAAAGGAACCTCCACGTTTTCCCGGGGAAAGTATAAATTGGTACATGTCCTTTAGAACACAATGGCAATTATCCAGTAAACTTGGAAGCTTGCATAGCCTATAAACCAACAATTTCACTCCAAGAAACACCAGAGACACCGTAATCATGTGCAAGATGACTGATACAGGACTGCTCCTGG